CATTGTTTTGTTTACGTGTAGACGATATATAAAATATAAAATATAATATAATATAATATAATATAATATAATATAATATAATATAATATAATATAATATAATATAATATAATATAATATAATATAATATAATATAATATAATATAATATAATATAATATAATATAATATAATATAATATAATATAATATAATATAATATAATATAATATAATATAATATAATATAATATAATATAATATAATATAATATAATATAATATAATATAATATAATATAATATAATATAATATAATATATTTATATATTCTTCTAAGTTATAAATCATGAGATTTCTTGTGTCAGTGGGATACCATCATACTAACAAATAGAATGGTAAAATATTTTTTACAATGAATAATTACTAAGAACGTAATGAAAGATACTCGGCCTAGACTTGCCTAAAGGTTAATATTGTTAGTCGCACAGCGTTTAATTACTGTCAGTCATTCCATGTGCTTTGGACAGCCTCGTTTATTAGTTAGCTAGACTTTATGACCGGGTTTACTTGATATTAATAAAACCATTTACGACTAAAGTAGTTGAATTATTATTTGATTAGTTATTACTTAAAACAAATCAAATCTCTAGACAGTATTTATAATATTAGATAATTAAACGACTCAAATTAATACATAAACAGTAAATTTTCGGAATTCTTATAATTTAAAAAAGGTTACCTATAATTTAGCCATCTGAAAAATACTTGAAAAATGTTTACTTTATATGCTGTAGGTATAGCTTACCGTTTAAATTTCCTACTTGTTGAATGCGGTACTTATTTTATAATGCCATTACAAAATAGGCATTCGCAAAATGAGTGAACTTCACGTTTGTTTCACAATTCAACTACACTCACTATATTGCGAGAAGACTTTTTTTTACACTTCCTTGAAATGTTGGCACTGAATTTCCGATTTAGGTTATTACGAATATTTTAGATTTTATTACACCTATTTATAATTAAAAGATAAATATAGACGCGCGCGCGCGACGCTCGCTTACAGATTAATAAGCTTCCTCTTAGATATATTTAGATGTTTAGAAATGCATATTTTATCTGCGGTTGATGAAAATATTCGACATTGATTTCTTAGTATTACGTCAATAGAGTATGATTTTGTATGAAGTTATAAATCATCTAAAAAAGTAAACTTTAATTATAAGTATGAGTTAATAGCTATTCTTTAACAAGAATTAAAACACGAGATATATATAGGTATTGTCGCCAATAAACAAAACATTTTCACTCTTATATTATTAAATAAAAGGTTTATTTTCTTAAAATAAAATTCAATCAATTTCCTTTATTTCAACTAAGAGAAAGTTTACAAAAATATATAATATGTTTTGATGCACAGCTGTCCTCTTGTACAGCTTGGCTTTGTGGCACAAAGGCCTCCTCCAGCTGTTTCCAGTGCTTCCTATCCCTGGTAAGTCTTCTGCCAAGTCTTTGCCACATTTGCCAAGGCTGTGGATCGGTGGCTTTTAAAAAAAAATATATGTTCTATAAAAGTAATCTAAAATTCTAAAAAAATTCCTAAAACTCATTTAAATAAAAATACTGTAACGGGTTTAAACGCGAAATTGCATTATTTTTATTATTAAAATATATGTCGTTTTCTTTTATTCGCTTTCCTATAACTTACTTCAGGCAATAAACATTTTACAAATCTAAAGAGGTAATTGCGGCCTTCACAGAAGAGAAGATTTAAAAAAATTTATAACGAAACAAAACACTTTTCTATTGACATAAGTCAAATGATATCCAAATTTTAGTCCGTTAAATAAACCAAAAAAACTACAAAAAACAGTAAGTACTTTATTTTTACGTTTGTTTATAAAATTTAATATTATCGTATTGTGTTACGAAACGTAGTGTGAAAATTGACCCAAATCATTAACTTTGCATGTGTGAAAGAAGGATATGAATACTCTTTAGCTATAACCAATTTAACTATTGTTTTTATCATAAAAAAGGTTACTTCAAACCTACGTTGGTAAAGTCATTTAAAGGGAAAGTTATTAAGTACATACAGAGTTCAGAGCCTAACTAAAGTCTAAATAAACAAACAAAAAATTGTCAAGTCTTTAGGGAATTAGATAAAGGGTTGCAGGTAAGGTGAAGATGATGGTGTCGGGATAAGATAATGGGTTATCTGCGATACGCTTTTTTGCTCATCACCGCGTTCCTTACTTTCATCACTGGAATACATAGTTGCACACGAAAAGTCTACATTGCCTGCAGAAAACCAGCGCCCTGTGGAAAGTAATTGTAAGTGACTTTTAATATTTTTCTTATAAGTGACTGAATCATTTAACCAATGGGTAGTAACGGAAACACTCACTGATAAATTACTTGATGAACCGTCATCAAAAAATACATTACGAGTACAAGGTTTATTGACGGGTATTTCTGATATGAGCGGTGTTAGCCTAGTGGCTTCAGCGTGCGACTCTCATCCCTGAGGTCGTAGGTTCGATCCCCGGCTGTGCACCAATGTACTTTCTTTCTATGTGCACATTTAAAATTTGCTCGAACGGTGAAGTAAAACATCATGAGGAAACTGACATGTCTTAGACCCAAAAAGTCGACAGCGTGTGTCAGGCACTGGAGGCTGATCACCTACCTATTAGATTTAAAAATAATCATGAAACAGATTCAGAAATATGAGGCCAAGACCTAAAGAGGTTGTAGCGCCACTGATTTATTTTTATTTCTGATATAGCACCCGGTCCTTATTATGTTGCCCTATGCCCTGTCTCAACAGACAAATTGAATACTCAAACATACATGTTGTTTAACATTCAAAAAAAATCTATGAAACTTGACTAGATGCATATAAAATTATATGTTTGAAAAATCATTTCAGATTTATAATGGCGAAATTAAACTGGGTATTCTTCTACACCTTACTGCTGGTTATATTCTCTATAATCGCAACCGGAAGTGCCTGTAAGAAGAAGATTCCTTGTAGTGGTCGTGCACCATGCCGGCGTGGACCTTACAAAGATTAACACACGCGTAAAAATTGTGACAGATTCTGTAACCTGCTTAGCTGTGAAAATGTAAAGAATAAGGAACCTTTTTAAAGGCCCCAAACATGCTTTAAAACAATGAGCGTTACGAAATCTTTACATGGAAAATCTTACTAGCATTTTTAGTTTGTAACTTAACGAATGTATTTGACAAAATAAACCACATATGTAACAAAACTTATACCAATACAAACTTAAAATATATAAACGTTTTATTGATTAAAGAGATATGATTTGGGTCAAATTCCACTTGTATGTTAGTTATTATGTACTTATTTGCTTACTAATAGATTTTTGGTTGCAGATTTTGGTGGAAAGACTCAAATCATTTCTCTTTGCAGGTGAAGCGGCATTTCCAATGTAGTGAAATACCAGTGAATATTAAATAAAGGTATAGTAATTTTCCTGATTCTTCTAAAGTGGAAATCTGCACGTTCTGAAAAGTAGGTTTATGTACTTTGTCAAGCGGGCGAAACGTAGTCTTTTATATTTGTGATATATGGAGAGACGATAGATTTATCTTTTAACATACATAGGCTGTAAGATGTATGCAAAAACATATACTTTAATGTGTGACACATCACCCATCGTTACCCACTAAACTTGAACTGGGAATGAACTTTCAAAACTATCATAAAAATATATCTAAAACATAATGCTTTATGCCGTGAAAAACACAAAACAAGAAAGCCTAACCCTTTTTCTAATAATTGACGAGTAATGCTACCTTTGTATTTAAAATATATTTCGTACTTAATGTATCTGTACTGTATCGGGCCGACATTGCGAAATGGAACTCTTAGGGTGAGAATGTATGATGGAAACAAAACGTCGTGAGTTTCGTTTGTGATTGTAGCATACAACACACATTCACATCTAATATCACACCGTGTATATCACGCGTGTCCCCACGCGGTGTGATATTAGATCAGTTAGTCCACTTGTAATAAAACGTACTGTTTTCTATAAGTTAAAACACCTTTAACCATGAGTCTTCGGTTCAAAATTAGTACTATGTTATACTCTGAATTATGGCGAACGTCTCGACATTAGGCACTGAAGCAGCCGCCTAGACTGGTGAAGGGTTCTCCCTTTAAGTCGGAGGAAGCAAGAACACTGTTCCTATACACAACTTTTTCACTTTAGAGTTGTGGCCGTATACATAATGGCTTTAAAATGGTACTGTGGAGACGAGTAGCGGTCCTGGTTATCACTTTACTGCGTTTGGTTGTCGCGTGCGGCGGAAGAAAAAGAGTGACTTGCAACCCTGAAAATCCCCCGTGCAAACGGTGAAACCGGTAATATTTTTTAAAATAGCTGACCCGAACGGTACCTACCTTTTATTATTTAGTATGACTAAAAATTTAACTTAGAATAAACTCTCCACTCATCCTCTAGGTCTGGCCTCATACGCTTTTTTTTATAAAGCAGTGTGCAAACGGTTCTAGCCCGTTATACCGTGATACCGCCCTCCACCCATGGACACATACTGGTAGGAGCCTTGCAAGTATGTTGCCGAACTTGGTAGATCTTTGAACGACCCTAAGTCGAATTGATTCGGTAATACCTCAATGGGCAGTTGGTTCCTCATAGTGATGGTGCGCGACACCTGCCTTACATAAAAAGCCAGTTATTTAACGACGGACGTCAAGGTGATACGACCGGTGAAACAGCCTTATATGCTTTACATACATTGTTGATTGATCCAAAGCATGTCGTATTACGATACCTTACGATATTATCTATTTCAATATGCGCAATAATCGCAAGCAAGTGTAAATACCGCACATAGAAAACGCCATTGATGAAAATCAGGGATTTAAGCGCGTATTCTTAACCGGCTAATACTTAAAAGCTAACACTGATCCACTGTTACCATAGTAAAAAATAATTTATGTACTTCATAAAAATGTTTATGCTAGGGGAATGGAAACAGAGTTATATCAAGAAGTAGTGGTTCTACTAGTGACCCTCTTACTTTCCTACCTGGAGTCCTGCTTCGCGTGTACCAGAGTTCGCTACAACGACTGCTCGGATACAAGTGCTAAGTGCCGAAAGTGAATATAGGTAAGTGAGTGAGTAAGAAATTAGGCAGATTGTACGAACACATTAAATAGAATTTAAAAGCTGTAGACGTGTTCACGCTGCCCAAGTATAAAATATTCTGAAATAACTAGTGTAAATTCTGTGTTATACCTAGCGAAATAAGATCATAGAATATTAATAAACACGAGTTTATATACGAATTTAATTTCAGCAAACATGCCGTACATCAGTGAATTTGTTCTGGTCTTCATTCATATCGCTCTCTGTGTTATGAACGCGGGAGAAGCATGCAACAGAGATAGGAAGCATTGTTGCCAGAGTGACTGTAGACCTTGTAATCAGTTTGGTGGTCCAAAAGCCAGGGGCATGAATTCGAAGGTACGAGTACTTTGTCTTAATAGCACTGAACTGAGGGTCCTACATAATGCAGCCTGAACTTCTATAACTTCTTATTTAGTTATAGATTTCCTTATTAAAAATAACTTCTAATTGTAAATAATAATAGCCAAATAGCCTTCTTAGCTAACAACAAAAAATATTTGTTTCACATTGGATCATACGAATTAAGTGAGGGCCAGCGGTGAATCCCAAAAAAACCAAAATGTATTTAAATTACTTTAATTAATTAATAGTACAATAATTGAGACTTAACTAAATATGAAAATTTAATCGGCCCGATATGAGATGCACGATAAATAATCTATATTATAGACTGATTACTAGTTTAGAATTGTCCGGTCCGATGTGAGGTATCCGATCAAAGGCTGTTGGTATCTGTTGTTCATTTCCTTTTATAACGGTGTTGCGTCAGAGGGGTACAGGTATTAGTTATGCGGGGCAAAGAGATGTGTAACAGTGTGTAAGATATGTAACATACGAAAAATAATAACAGAGCCTTGTTACAACAACAATGGCACAGTCTAAAGTAAAGTTATATCAGTCTTGCTTTATGGTATAAGAAAGTTCCTGGGCACAGTGAAAAACTTAGGGCCTCGTTTACGATCCAAGTATATAGTAGTAGTAGATAAGCTACTTTTCATTTACTTTTTATTTTCAACGGCTACTTAAGGGTATAAGTAATAATTGGTTTATCAAATAATTAGCCTAAGTGAAGTTTTAACTGACCATTTATTTTACTTAACACATTTCTCAAGCCTCTCTTAAATTTCCGTTTACCTTCGCAACAGTGACTGGTGAAATAGCAAAACATGTCGCCGAAGAAGTTATTGCTTATCTTTCTAGTCCTTATAACGTGGACACTGGTGCTTTGCTGTAAACGCAAGAATGCAAATCCGCCGTGTCCCAAATATTGCATTCCTTGCAAGTATAAGGGGCCTATTATAGAAGTTTTATATCCAAAACAGGTAAATTTAAACATAGTCCATAATTTTGAATATAAAAATTTATTATTCGGTTGTGTGCGAAAGCGGATTGTATACGTTTGATTATTTTGCTTTATAATTTAAGATGTGTATTTAATTTATGAATTTTTTTCAGGGAAACAAGACTTTAATTTTATCACCGGTACAAGAGTAAATACGAAATGCCAAGCGGGATAAATTGGTACATAAAAATAAAGTGTCCATAGCAGAATACTTAGTTCCACTGTTTGTCCTATTTTATAAATGTTATTAGTATTCAATATACCAAATACCGTGCCATAAAGCATACGTGTTTTATTTCTATTGAAAAAATATTTTAAATGATAATGTTGGATCTTAATATATTTAAACGGCACAATCGATAAATCTAATATATAAAATTTCTCGCGTCACAACTCACAATGTTCGTTACCATACTCCAAACCCCTAAATGTTAAGTTATATTAATAAAAAGTTTTCATTCCGGAAAACCGAAGTCTCCGGGGTAGCAAAAAGGTAGCGTGTACTAAAAAGGTAGTAAAATCAAAATCTCGTTAAGGAGAAACGAAGTTCGCGGGGGCAGCTAGTATTATAATAAAGTCTATAATAATATGTAATTACAAATGAGAATCGTAATTAAGATTAATATTAATTGAACTACCGAAAACTATTTATTGTCAATTCCATGTCAGTTCCAGCTACAATCTGCACAATCTGTTGTCTCAAAACTTTGTCAATGAAACAGAATGTATGGGAAGCATTTGACAAAAGTAAAACCTTCCTATATTCAATCAAAATACATTTTCATATATTTTACACATATAACAGTGCCCCAAACCGTTAGCTGAAAATACATATTGTTTTAATAAAACAAATATTAACATAATTCCAATATACTTTATTTACACAATCGAACCTTACTCCTATAATAATTGAATTAACCTAAAAAAATAATGTCTACTGTAGATTGGAATACATATCAATACCAAACAAATGACCTATATTAACGAATTATTTTACCTAGAATGTATAAAGTAAATCAGATTTAATATATTAATAAAATTATGATTTTAACATTTGAATGTCAACTGATGACTAATTTCACATGGTTAGCGAATGAATATTGCAATAAATCTAAATAAATTTAGAAACGAGTTTATACCAGATGAAAAACTAATTGCGAAATATAATTAATAGATGAATTATATATAAATTGCTCCAATCATTTTGAATTATTTACATTAACAAAAATAGAAACCTTAAATATTTTAATACATTACAATTAAGGCTTTTAAACAGAGAACAGTTTTTATCTTTGCATTTTACAAAAAATTACACGAAATTATGAATTCTTAATTAATTGCATGTTACACACTTGAAAAATTAATTACAAATTTAAACTACTTTTTTAATAAATAAAACTGCGTGTAGTAGACTATTTTTATGTGTTACTCGTTATTGAATTATCATGTGTTTATTAGTTTTTAGTAAGTAGTATATATGACCTATATTCTCTAATAAAAACTTATCATCGTATAAAAACCTCAATTCTCATAACATTGACGACCACACATATAATTGATCCGTTTGTCATAATTGTATTTGGAAATATTAACTATATAGCACAAATCTGGAAGGCCTAATTTCCTTCCTATTCGTATTTTATCATTAGAACAACACTAAGTAAAATTATATTTAATTATCAGATTGCAAGGCCATTTAAAATAAAACTATATAAACGCGAAAGCACTCACAATATTTACTTAACAAATTCGCGTTTATATTAGTGTAAACCAAATACATTGTTTTATACATATACTAAATGTCGTGAAATTTATAAAAAAAGGGAATTTATTGTTGGCTAATATGAAACTTCATTAACAGTCTAACGTATGCCGTAGCGTGATCATCTGGAATTTATCCAAACACTTTATTGCAAACATTTTGAAATGTCCACGGTTTATTTATATTTCATACTGCTATAGAAGACTTCTGATTTCCTTATGTATGTGGCAGAGGTAGTCGACGTATGAGGAAGACCCATCCACTCCTCGATCTTCAACCAAGAAGTGCCGCAACACTGCTTCCAATTTGTCATGCTGACGCATAACCGTTAACTGAAATAAAAATAGGAATTAATGGCAACTAACGTCACGAGAACAGTAAATACCCGAAGCCATGTCGCGTTTCGTTTAATTGTGATCGGTTGTGTGGTTGCGGACGTTATTTTATGTCAAATTAAATTATCATTTATTCGTATAGGAAAATGTTCACATATTTAAACATCGATAAAAAATTAAATGCTAAAGTAACAAAGGCCAGGTTCACACGGAATTGTCCTGCACGTTTTTTTTGCAGTGACGTATACTGACGTTAACGAATAAATAGTGGCACGTATTGTACATAGACCCATTCACACGGCGTTTGTACTGCAAAATATCGTACACCGTTTATACGTTCAAACGAATACTCAACGGACTTGTCAAGCAAATCGAATGAATTTAACGTATTCGGTTTGCAGTGGCACATAATATAGCTCTGTCTCGTTCTCGCTCACTGTGACAACTGTGTGAAGACTGCGGCTATTAGTATTTTACACGAATGAAAATCTACCATGTGAACACCCGGGTGAAGAACTTAAAAAAAACGAATACAAAACGTGCAGGACAATGCCGTGTGAACCCAGTGTAACTTACATTTACTGTCAGTTCTCAAAGGGCATAGAACAGACAAAAAGAAACGGCAATAACCTGTTTTTAAGGAGCTGTATCTCCTTTTTATTTTATTCAATAGATTTTCTATCAAATAATTTTCATACGCCTGACAAGACTTAACTTACTTCAAACCACATTGTTACCTTTCATGAATTTTGTATTTGTATTCTGAGATATAAATTTCTTGATATAAAAATAATCTATGGGCCACCATCCATCTGACCAATCACAATCAAACAATGATTTCATAGTCAAACCCGTTGCGTTATTAGAAATTTATTGTTAGTTAGAAAAATCAAATATTAATAACATTACTTTAATATATATAAGAAGGAATGTTAGGTCCCAAAAATTATCAGACAAATCCACCACCAAATATTTTTACGCTGCAAATTGTTGAGCTTACGGCATGCATGACACTAGACAAATATGAAAGCGCACACAACCCGTCACAAACTTCATAAAGTCGATTTTATGACGTTTCCAGCGACAAACCAAAAAGGGCATAGAAACATTTTAAAAACAACAAATATTTCCTTTTCGTAATCTTCGAAAGTAATTATCTTCACAATCCCAAATTCGGGTAAGCGGCCAAAGAAAAAAAAAACATCCCAAAACATTCAGATGCCAAATTCAACCTACATAATTTTCTGCACCATTTTGTGTGTGTTCATCAAAAACTCCACATAAGAGGGCGTTCCATCGACACCAGAGTCTTCCAATAACAGTTTGCGGTATAACGCTTCGTTCTTGCCTTTCTGATGTACGATTTCAAGCTACGTGCGACAGAGATAGATATAAGAAACATGCACGTGCGAGAGAGAGATACCATGCACGTATAAGAGTAAGATATATACGGTTACAATACTACATTCGTGCTATTCATATTGAATGTGTTAGTGAAGGTTACAAATTATTAAAAAAAGAGGAATACTTTGGTTTAAAAATAGCAAAGTTTTAAATAAAAGGAAAAAAATACTTAAAAGTCTAAATATTAAATACATTTTTTACAGTTAATTTTTGCATACAGTTTTTTATATGTTTCAAATTATATCTCATAAATCAATAACTAAGTCAAATGGCAAACAAATTTTATAACACACAACTAATCCATGACAATAAAAACTATATCGTAATAATAAATAAAGCTTATCAAAATCTAAAGAGCGTTTATCCTCACCCGCATAGCAGTTCTCCTCTTATCCCTTGCATCTTCTAGCAAGGCTCTAACGGCTCTGTTCAGCTCGTTATCTAGTTCTGGAAGCTCGCAGACCTGGGTATTTAGCTGGTGAGGAGATGGAGCACCGAAGACATCATTTACGAATTCCGGAGAAGCCTGTGATCCAACCCAGAGCAGCATATGGACGCCATTTTCTGAAATAAATTGGCTCAAAATTATACGATAATGTTCTTACACTTACACTATAGCAGCGCTAAAAAAAAAAAACATGTTATGGCGTTATAAAGGTAATAAAGGTGGTTTTACTATTATAGCATACACATACTGCGTAATATTAAACAATATCTAGTAGCTGAGACAAAGAAGGGCAAAGTAATCACAAAGAAATCAAATTATGAAATTATTAGTCGCGTATGTAACGGGCAAACAAAATGTACAAAGTCGAAATGAAATCATTTCGGCCTAATAAACTTTTGAAAGCCAAAATTACAAGTTAAAATATTAAAAAAGAAATGACACCGGTTGTCATATGGAGAAGAATGGGCTAGAAACTCCATACTTACTTTTAAAATAGTTTTTACAATATTTTTTATACATTGATTTGATATATGATATATGTGAAGACCTAGAACAAAACTGATCTCAATAACTTACAAAGTATGTACAAACAGTAGCTGCTTAATAAATTGCTGAAATTACTTGCTTTATATTGAGTATCGAGATATTGTGGATGGTGTGTTCCATCACACACCATTCTGCTAGTTACCATTGTATGGCCTAATGTACTATCGTTTGTTAGTTAATTGCGAATTATATTCCATAGTAAAGTTCAGAGTATTATAGCAACTTTCATAAAACTTTGTTCAATTTCAAGCATTGTTTATCTTAGATTTGTTCTTTACAGTATATTTTGGTAGTACTGGAAATACTTCAATGAGTAATGTGTAGGCTCATTTCTGTGTCTGTTTAATTGTTTGGCAGGCAGATAGGTGCCGTATGTGTTTTGAACCGGAATAAACATTGACTAGAAATTGGACTTCGAAGTTCAAACCTAGGGAATTTGTCTTAAGATAAACTTACCAAGCAGATAGACTCCCTGATCGCTCATCTTATCTACAGAGGCCCTAAGCGGCTGCGGCGTATTTGGAAGCGTATGTAATGGAAGAAGACGCGGGTACGTGTATACTACGGACTGACATACGTCCGCTGTCAACGCACGGTACATTGCGCACGAACGGTCATCACAGGTTATGTCTGGACCTGGAACATTTATTTTATTATACTTTTTTATAATTTCATTTGTTCCATAAAAATAACTATCATACATAGTTGAAAATTTATGGTCTATTGTTTTGACAATAACAGTTCATATTTCTAAGAATATTTATGGTACCTATTTTTTGGGAATAGATAATACCACATTGTGCCCTTATGTATTTTTTTACTATAAATAACATATTTAATAAAAACAAAATATATAAGTACATTGTCATAGAGTAATATTTAAGCTCGCCTTAAAAAGCTATTTAAAATTATTACAAACCAGGAAAATGTTCTATGAGATGGTTTTTAATATATTTATAACAAAAATTTACCAAGTTCATGTGTGATTGTAACAATACATACCTCCAGAAATAGCGTCAGACCGTAATAGACCGCTGGTATACAATGGCAGTAGTTTCATAGACTCCGGTAAGACTAATTGGGCCGCAGAAGATGGCGACGCACAGTGTCTTCTGTACGCGGCCAACGAACGCGCACAACGAGTTGTTAAACCTTCACGAACTGCGCGGGGTGGGGCGTCTCGAAGGGCCCATACAGCTAAAACATTAATACGACAGTAAGTTTATAAAGCGTTTAAGGAAGATGGTAACATTTAGTAAAAAAATATGATACCATGAATATAAATTATTTAGAATATTAAGTCTCTTGACGAACAACAATCAATATAAATATTATTGTTTAATCATTTGTACATCAGTCAATTCTACTTGTTTTAAAGCATATAGCTGAAGTAATCTTTCGTTTGTTTCTGTGAAATTCTTATGTTTCTGTTACGCTGTCAAGATACGAACGAATACTTTGATTTAGTTCTTATGAAAGAATGTGGTAAAAATAAATACCTTGTTTAGTAAGGAAATTGATCATCGTATCCAATTCAGCAGATCTATACACATCAGCGAGCTGGTGGGCCACATTGAGTGCTAAGTTTAGCACACGTAATCTTCTCTGACCGGATCGATGCGTGTACAGCAACGCAGTTTGTATGTATACGCCCTCTTCACCCGTCAGTTTGTCGTCATGTTTTATTTCGACGCCTATCGCTTTGTCAGGGTCTAGTGAATCAAATTAATTTCTTTAAATAAACGTTCATATTTTTGTATATTTGTCAAGTCTTTTAAATAAAATGTCAGTTATTATCCATCAGTAAAGTTTCATTTAAATGTACTTGCGTTAACCAAGACGTACGTCCTGTCAATTAATAAAATATTAAAATTGGCAGATTAAAAAACATAACAGTTGAAATATTACTCCAATCAACTGTTCACTAGTATTTAATGATTCAAAGAGAACACTTTCCAACTGCTGAATTTAGATTTTTTAATCTAGACTTGCTTAAGAAGTTTTCCCATTACGCCACCAATGTCTTGTTTAAGCCAGCTCATTTGCCCTGGAGTCTGAAAGGAACTGTGATAATAAACATATTAATAATTAAAACATACCAATGGCAGCCAATTCGACATCAGTGGTGTTAGACATAAAGAAATGTCCGAAGAAGTCAGTAGCTCGTACGCCCGTGGACGTGCGTACACGCATGACGGCATCGTGAGCAGTGTTACGCGTCACTACGCGACGAACATCACGGCATAGACGACTGCCATCTGTCTCAGCCTGGAAATAAATCATTTATAAAGCAAAAGAGCGAAGACGACGAAAAATCAAGATTTTATTATCAATCGCAATGTGTAGCCTTTCTTTTCTTCTCTCTCCTTCCAAATATAATGAAAGTTATCAAAAATGATAAAAAAGTCGACGGGTTTGCACTCTGGGAGTGCCGCAGAAGTGAAAACTTGAATATTAAAGTATGATATTTTGGAATGGTTAAGGAATAATTTTGCACGAATTGCTTTAATTATCAGTATAAAAGTACGATCATTTATGTGGTAGAATACAATATTTATTGCGCTATCGTACACAAACATGACAATTTATATTACATTAAATACGCCGCGCGAGCTATCTACTCTCCAACCGTCTTACGAATTTTCGATCAGGTCACGTGTCCTGACGCGAATTTAATTTTTTTTACCCATTCCAAAAAAAGTGTGCAACGCCGCTAAAGAAGTTTTCACTTCAAAAATCTACTATACAAATTTTAAATTACTTCTTTTAACATAAGATGACCTACTTTTTTAATTTAAATATATTTTAGGTAAAATTCTTAATTCTCTGTCGGTTTATCGGCTCTGAATGGAATTATAAACTTACAGTGAAATAAGTGTATTTATGCACTTGACCGCCCGTCAATCGTGGCAGTTGTCCGATTGTGGCCGTATCTACGTACGAGTTGTTAAATACGAACAGTTCGACGGACACGCCCGCAGCGGAACACGCTTGACCTAGCTCGTTGTACGCTGTTGTTTGGGGACCTTGAACAGAATTATTCAAACGTCAAACTCTAAATAAAAGTAAATTAGGTACATAATATTCACTTTTATAAATTTATATATTTTTAAATGACATTCACGATATAAGACGAAATAAATAGACTTAATATTGTTTTTAATGTTTGTAAAATCACTAAAATTAAAAAAAATTATATACAGCAAATCATGAGTATACTATATATTGTGTAGTTACTCAAATAACTTTTCCTTCAGAATGAATATAAAAAGCGTTTGCCAAAAAATACGACAAATTTAATTTAACAAAAAAATATTAAGGCAAAAAGTAAGAACTCACTCAAGATCTGCTTCTCCTTCTCTGTTCCAAGAAGTTTCCTATCTTCTCTATTGATAAGTTTTCCGGGCGCATTGTAAGTTGGAAGCGATGTGTGGAATACTAAGAGTTGACCACAGGTATCTGCCGCTTTAAGGGCTTCCAGACCGGCCTAAAAATTATTATTGACATTTTTGTATAATAAACAAAATAATAAAGAGAATTTAATTCTTAAATATAATTTAATATTATCTACGTTTAGTTGTGTATCTTTGGTCATAGCAAAATAATGTTCTATCATTTGTGCAATGGTCTGTGCATCAAGTTTTAGTCAAATACATAATCTTTGCGTTAATACTAAGCCAAGGTAATTTTCCCGCTTAAATTGTAATATTAACAACCCGTTGAATAAAAACATATACCCAAAATACATATTATGCAGAATGTTGTGTAATCATAGCATTTATGTTAGCTTGTTATTCCTAAATGTAGCGTTAAAGAAATGTTCAACATATATAGTATCCTTTGTAAATTATCTTACCTGAACAGCAGGCAATAAAATAATCTCAGTATTTTGGTTCTCAGCAAATATTGTAGGTAATTGCTCGAGCAATGCCTCCAGAACCGGTCCAGACTCTTCAGCTTCTACAAGGAAGCCTTCCAGGATTGGTACAAACATGTCTCCGATGTCACCTACTGATAGCATTTGTGGTTGTGCAAGGGAACCCTAGAATATTTTCAATTATAATAAAACAGTATTCCTGTGACAATAGTGTTGTAGTCATAGTGTTCAAAAATAAATTTTCATATACTTTTAGCATTATAAAACACTATTTCAAATATTATTTCGGGCCCTATTAGATTACCATAGCAATGTTTTCTCCTATTTTTTTAAGAATCTTTATTCTATAAAAAATCCTTTTTACAATGCCCAAAATAAAATGAAAATAATCCCTTTTGCTCACTATTTTGCAAAATTTATTTCTTCCTGTGTTATACATATTGTTGTATATACATTATACATTGTATTAGGAATTTTACTTTTACTTTTTATTTTCTATTTCGATAATTCCATACATATTTTTGTATTGTTTATACAATTATTTGATTTGATTAATTAAATGTCAATCTCACCTTGATATTGTAGAAGTGCACGGTAGAACTGTAAGTAATGAATCCTACTCGGGTCATACACTTGCCAGTTTGTTCATCCTTTGGCATTGCCTGTAAAAGTAATTATAAACCCAACTTCATTTCTAAAATCTACAAAGAATAATCGGTCTTACTTTAAATTATATAAGGAATATAATATATTTTAACAAGACAAGGTCTAAAAATTTTTTTGAGAAGTCATTCTTGTAACATTACTTCTACAAATCTATTTTACTGGTGCTATTATTTATCTAGAGTGGTGTTAAATTAGTGGCTTGGGCGTGTGCCTCTCAAACTTGAGGTTGTGCGTTCGAATCATCGAACACTAGCCATACAGTGAAGGAACATAACTTGAGAAACCCGGCATGCCTTAGTCCCCAAAAAAGGCGATAGTGTGCCTGACACAGACGCCTGTACACCTACTTGCCTATTATGTAAAAAAGATAACGAAACAGATAAGGAATCAAAAGATCTAGAAGGTAGCACCACTTTATTTACCTGAATGATATCCAGAATATTGTCACATATAGTGCGCAGAAGACCACTCTTCATGGAGTTATACGATACGTCTATTACGAATACTACTGCTGGTGGATTTGGCAGGGTGTTGTTCTGAAATAAATTATTAACAGATTTGAATAAAAATCAATTTAATTATTCATAAGCAATATAGAAGAGAACTTTTTCAGGCTTCGATACTGAGTAAAGAGTAAATATTACTCACCCTACAATATTCTTTAGTAGCGACAATTTCGTAGGCGCCGACACTAATTTCAGCCGGAAGTCTTCCGTACTGTTGCATTGTGTTTATGTATTGCGTGTACTCCATTGGCACTAAAATAAATAATATTCTTACATTTATGAATGTTTATCTCTTGCCTCTCTTACCATGGCCAAGCTAACATTGCAAAGTTTTACTTGGGAAATGGAAAGTATTTTTAATCACAAAAATATATTGATTGTATTTATTGATTTATTTATCACAGAAATTTTATTTATTTAAATTTTAATACAAATTATTATTTAGCTACCTTTATAATTGTTTGAGACTTACATTTGACAGACATCATATCATATGTATATATTTCAAATCATAGCAAATTTTCAATTACAAAAAAAAACTTTGTATTCAAAGATTGTCTTTAAGATTAACATACCCTCAGTAGTGGCTTTACAGAAGGCACACTTAAAATGCCTGCCCGCATCTATGAACTTCATATTGGGGCAGATATATGCTTTGCATCGACTGCATCTCACCGGGCCCATGTTAGGTGACCCCGTGAGGGCTGCAAAGTCAATTAATGGTGGCTCCTGTTCTGTACCCACTGTCTCTGCCATGGGGGCAATCTGAAGTCATACAAATTTAGTAATTAATAAGATATTAAGAATTTCGGGTCCGCAAGATTATTTGAAAAACTATTGTATGTATGTATAATAATTTTTCATACAATATTACTTAAAAAGAGATTAAGCTAGGGTTTTTAAACTGTTTTCTTGCTCAAAAACTTAAAGAAATACGAAAACAGTAACACACTCTACAGTTACAGATATATGATTCATAACAAAATGATTAAAAAGATTTTAGTCTGAAATATTGACCATTTACAATAGACATTATTGTAAAACTTAAGAGATTTCAGGATTGGCAATAGACTTAAGTTGGCTTTACATTGTCTCATATAGTGTACTTACAACAAGGCAGAAGGGAATGGATGTTTGTTTGAGAAGGTCAGTTGTCACAGGAACACTGTACAGGGAACTTCTTATGAATCTGGGACCTACACAGAGAAAAAATTCCCTTACTTCAATAGCAAATACATTAAAAATCTAATAAATATAATTAGTTATGTGAAGATATCATTATAGATGAATTTGTCCTCATTTAAAATAGATAAGCAGTAATAACAAATAGTTATAAGTGTTTGCAACATATGTTGGTACAATTGCAAAAAAGTTTTATTTGAGATTTAGAATCAAATTAAATCAGTAGGAATCTGTATGTTATCAAAAGTTAGAAAATAATGAACTTCATTAAAAGACAAAACTGAACTTACTAGCATTTCCTTTATCATCAACAATAAAGTCAGTGGTGACAAGTGGAGGCACTAAGCCTTTATCGTTGGTTACAAATACTCCACTGCGGTTATTTTGGTCATCGGACATCACTTGGATCTAATGATGATGTATTAATATTTAATTTTTTAAAAAGGTATATTACTTAAAGTGTCTTAATATTATAATTATGACTCTATATTTAGATACTAAATACAATTCTCTAATTATTTTATAAATAGGTATATAAAATAATTAAATCCTAATAAATTTAAATTACTATATATTTATAAAACTCTAATGCTTTAAGAAATTAAATTTTTGCTTTTGTAAACAATATACAAATGGAAAATTATTTTAACAGCACTTACTGGACTTGGCATCTGATCAGGATCGAGCCTTCTTTGTTGAGGTTGCTGGTATGGCTGCTGTCCATAACTTGGCTGTTGGGCTGGGAAAGGTGGTGGATATCCTGAACCTGCCTGGTAATTTTGTTGAGGCATTGGGGGCATTCCTGAAAAAGTATTTATACATAAAATTACCATAATAAATAATATTAGGATCAAGTATCTAATAGCAAATACCACAAAGTATAACAATAAAATTACCAGGATATTGAGGATTTTGTGGTGGTGCAGTGAACTGTCCCTGCTGATTCAATGGTGGTGGCATGTGAGGCATACCAGGCATAGATTGAAACTGATTGTACTGTGATGAGGGGGGCATGCCTGACTGTGGTGGCATCCCTGGTGGAGGTATTCCGGGCTGTGATGGCATTCCTTGTTGAGATTGCATTCCCGGCTGTGGAGGCATTCCCGGCTGTGGAGGCATTCCCGGCTGTGGAGGCATTCCCGGTTGTGGAGGCATTCCCGGTTGTGGAGGCATTCCCGGTTGTGGAGGCATTCCCGGTTGTGGAGGCATTCCCGGTTGTGGAGGCATTCCCGGTTGTGGAGGCATTCCCGGTTGTGGAGGCATTCCCGGTTGTGGAGGCATTCCCGGTTGTGGAGGCATTCCCGGCTGTGGAGGCATTCCTGGTCGGGGAGGCATTCCAGGTTGTGCAGCCGTGCCTGGTTGCTGAGGCATTCCTGATCGTGGAGCCATGCCTGGTTGAGAATGCATGCCCATCTGTGGTGGCATGCCTGGCTGCGAAGGCATGCCCTGCTGCTGTGGCATGCCCTGCTGCGGTGGCATGCCCTGCTGCGGTGGCATGCCCTGCTGCGGTGGCATTCCCTGCTGCGGTGGCATTCCCTGCTGCGGTGGCATACCCTGCTGCTGTGGCATGCTCTGCTGCGAAGGCATGCCCTGCTGCTGTGGCATGCCCTGCTTTGGTGGCATACCTTGATGAGGTGGCATGCCTGGCTGCGGTGGCATACTTGGCTGAGGTGGCATCCCTGGATGCGGTGGCATTCCTGGCTGCGGTGGCAATCTTTGTTGTGGAGGCATGCTTGGTTGTGGGGGCACTGCTTGTTGAGAAGGCATGCCTGATTGTTGGGCCACAGCTTGTTGAATAGGCAATCCCTGTTGTGGCATATGGGATTGTTGTAAAGGTTTCTGCATGCTAGGAGGTCCTTGAGTGTCAGGTCTCATTGAACCCTGCTGACTTGTTGGTGGCATGGAACTTGCTTGTGAAAAATGCTGATTAGGCATAGGACCTCTATTCTGTATATTTGATGGTATGTTTTGACCAAGTGACCCTTGATCAGGTCTCATTTGGGGTTGGTTCAAGCCCGGTTGACTAGTTGGAGGACCCTGTCCATACTGAAGTGGCATTTGAGGATTTTGTTGCATCGGTGGCATCCCTGTTTGGCTATGCATACCAGGTTGTTGTTGCATGGGCTTTGGCATGTGCATAGATGTAGGTGGTTGATTGAACTGAGGACCAGGAGTAGAAGATGGAGGAATTTGGCCCATTGAAGCAGGGAATTGTTGAGGCATACTGGTGACTGGTGGCCGGCCAGGTTGCAATGATTTAACACCAGGTGGCATTTGGTTAAAGTTAGATGTGGGTGGAAAATTTGGAGGTAACTGACCTGGTGGCAGTTGGGATGGTGGTATAAATCCCTGTGGCCCATTTACATTCATATTTTGCATCTTGTTTGATATATCATTTTGGGAACTATTTGGTGGAATTTGGTTATAATCATTAGAATTTTGAATGCCATTGTAATCTTGTGATGGAGGATAGTTAAGTGGATTATTTGGAGCATTATTATTTTGGCCTGGTGGTGGATATTGTGGATTCATCATTTTGTGTGATAATTATCTGTAACAATGTTTAATAACCCTATTTAATTATGCATGAGAATAATTATAAATTTAATATACCACTTGATTATCTTTAATTGTATGTTTATGACATAATGACAGTAATATTTTTTTGAGTCTTTATAGTGCATCTAGATGTCGGTTTTTATGTTACTTATATATAACTACAAATTGCGGTTTATTTGTAAAATAGTTCGGATAATTTTAAACAATAATAACTAACTTTTGAACATAAACGAATTATGACAGTAAGATTAGATTTGTAATTGCTAGGAAGATTTCATTTCATCTGGGTAGAATTCCAGAAGTAATGCGACTCATGAATTTTTCATAATATTTTGAGACTATTACATATAAAATAAGATTGTAACAAGTTTTATTTTCAAAAAGATTCTTACACGAAGGTTGACAGCTGGAGATCCTCTTTTAAAAATGTAATTTATAATTGGTACGTATTAGAATCAAAAAAGTTATATTATTTGTCAAATAGATACATTTATAACTTTTTTACACTTACTTCAGTTTTATTATATTTTATCGTATTCACACACTAAAAATATAAACAACACAAGAAACTCCACAAATTTTCGGGCCACGTATCCTGACTGACAGTTTTGACAAATCACACCGCTTATGTGGAACTTTTCAAATTGCAAGGCAAACGCTTGTAGAGGAACGTCTTTTTCGTCGTTATTGATGTGTAATTGTGTGTAAACAAATATATTACAACTTTAAAATTTACGTGACATATTATTTTCAATCTTTTTACTTTTTTTAATACAGATTTCATATTAGAGTATTGAAATAAAATTACAAGAAATCGTCAGAAAATGTTGAAAGGAACGTTATAATTTCGTAAAATAAAATATCTGTGCAATATGATTTAAAAACATTATGAACTAACCAACTACACAATTTTATTTAATAAGCAGTAAACTACGAATAATAATGCTATAATGATTCAAGTCATTAAATATTTTTTAAATAATATGTTTAAAATTAGTATTTACTATGATGTAGCATTATTTTATATTATGTTAACGAAATAATTGTTTTCTTATCTTCAATGAGTACTATTTAAAAAAAATATCTTCTATTAAATATTTAACTTTATATTAATTAATTAAGTTTTTTGAAAATTCATACAACTGTTTCCTTAATAAATTTCGACATTTATGCATTTGTTTGTCTTTAGAGGTAATTATTTAATTACGTCAGCAAATTAAAGGCTTTTATTCACGGTATTAACTTAGAAGCGGCGCGGTGGTCCCATGCAAAATTCAAAACTATGTGAGAGTTGAGACTCAGCTACGTAAATAAGAAATACCAGGGACGTTTTAGCGCATTGCGCATGTGTTGAAACGTGGTGTTGTGACAACAGGTTGTCGATGCTTTATAAAGCTACTGGCTACTGGTTATAAAACTATGCCATTTGTATAAGCCTCCGAGTAATACACCTACATTCTCGGATCGAATCAAAATACAGTCAATATGAGGGTCAAAGTTTGCACTTTACAGTAAATCACCTCGTTTTCTGTTACCCTATTATGGTGGCCATTCACGGTCGATCCATATGGCTTTCGCGCCACGGGCTTGATACTCGACGTCGCGCCGAGCCAATTTCATGCCATTCACGAACGCGCCAGCGAGCCGTTCCATTTGATCATTTTGAGTGTAGGCGTCGATAGCACCAGACATGTTCATAATGAACTTTGATTCAGAAGATGAGTTTTATTTATCTACCATAGCGATTTGTCTAGTTTTAAAAAAAATAAAGTGGTGTAAGGATTGGTTGCTGAAAAGATCGCAGCTCACTTACATAAATTTAATGAAGGAGTTGACTTTTTTTCTAAACTTATAAATAAATTGAATAACAAAATCACGGTTAGAAACCATTGCGAAAACGATTTATATTAACAATGTGTCACGTGCTTCTCGTCCAACGGCTAAACGCAAACTAAAATCAAAATGGCGTGTTTGGCTCGCGAGTAACACTAACACCATTCACGAGCGAGCAAACCGTATGGCACGATGGCTCAGACCGACCGGACCGTTGGTTTTCCGCATTCACGAGCGCGCCGCCTGCGTATGCGCGCCGCGCCAATTGACTCGGCGCGATGGACTTTCGCGCAGTTGGAATTCCATCGCGCCGAGCCAATCCATTTGGACCGACAGTGTTTTCACATTCATGGACGAATTTTGGATCGACAGCGTGCCAAATGTAACGATGGATCGCCCGTGAATGGCCGCCATTAGTGTTAGAGTCACTTGTATCCGATAGCTATACGAAATAAGTATGAAAAATAGCATTACTTGTTGCTCTTTGTTTAATACATATTTCATCGACACATGCGCGTCACTACTAAACCGCCCTCGATCGATTGCTTCGGAGCCTAATTTTACCACGAGCCCCGCCGCAGTTAATATATCCTTGAAAATTTCTACCAAAAATGAGCCAAATCCAGTACTAAAATGTTATTTATGAGTTAGTTTTGAAATTTATTATGTGATTAAAATTATTGTGAAAATGTGGCCAGTGAATTGATGTTCATACTAGATATCAGGTAAATTTAAAAAAAAAACTACTTGTGTTTATGCTTAATTTGTTTTGATAGGCGTATGTAACGTAAAGTAAAAATATTTCTTAAAAAAAAATTTGGAAATAAATGGTTGTTTTTACATTCATATTTAAATAAAGTATCACTAAACTAAGCATATTAAATTATATATAATAGTTAAATACATCATCATTCATCTTGAAATTAATAACATAATTTTAAAAAATATATTAAGTTTTTGATACTTGCTCTCAATATATTATATTATAATACTTGTGGTATCTAAATTAACTTTGATAAAATATTTTAGTAACTAAGAATAAAATTTAGTAAACCACAATTTGCTAAGTTTTCATAGAATATAGAAGTTAAAAATTTATTTTGACCATATATACCAATTTTCAAAGGTTTCAATATGACCTTAATCATCCTCTGGTCCCTGCTGGTGCTGACCCAGGGGGTGCCACAAAAGCCAAACCTGGATGCGATCCTCAATCGTCGCACCGATGTCTACATTGCAGGATTTTTTCCCTTTGGGAAAGGAGTGGAGAACTCAAACACTGGTATCTATCTTCGCTGACTAAAGTCAAATGTTAAAATCGTTTTAAACGCTTTTTATTTATTAAATATAGCACTTATAAAAAGTTTTGATCGTAAAGTTGAATGTATAAATCCTTCAGCTTCTCAATTTTGATAGTTATACATTTTGTACTTTCGCGTACAATCGTAGTAGAATTCGCAGCAAATTATTTAAGAAAACTCGTTACCTAGATATTCTTAACTAAATGTGTTAATTATGTAAGAGAAACTTAAGTATTAGAGACAAAATGTGTTTTATTACTTCTGAGCTAAGTACCAAAGCTATGTGAACACCGCTGTAGGTCGAGGCGTGATGCCGAGTGTAAAGTTGGCGCTGGACCACGTCAACGAACATGACACGGTGCTTCGGAACTACAGGCTGCATATGTGGTGGAATGACACCGAGGTAATTAAAATTCTTTTAATTGTAAGACAATATTGTATTTTACAAAAACAGTGTTGGTCTAGTAATACAGCACACGACCATCATAGTCCTACGAGCGTTTCCCGGCTGTGCACCAATGCTGTCTTTGTGCGGATTTAACACTCGCTGGTACAACGAAGGCAAACATCGTGAGGAAACCAGCATGCCTTAGACACAAAAAGGCGTATGTCAGACACTGAAGGCTGGTCACTAACTTAGGCTTATTAGAAAAAAATATATGATCACGAAGCAGATACAGAAATCTCAAGCACAATAAAATATATAAATCAGTGGCACTATAACCTCTTTTTATTCAGAAATCTATGACCCAGACGGGCCTCAGATTTCTGAATCTGTTTCATGATAATTTTTCAATCTAATAGACAAGTAGGTGAACAGCCTCCTGTGCCTGACACACTAAGGGTGTTGGGTCTAAGACATGTCGGTTTCCTCACGATGTTTTCCTTCACCGTTCGAGCGAATGTTGAATGCGCACACAGAAAGAAAGTCCTTTGGCGCACAGCCGGGGATCGAACCTATGACCTCAGGGATGAGAGTCGCACGCTGAAGCCTGCTACTTCTTTTAATGAAATTTCAATACAGTGTCTTAATTGTCAGTTCTTTTTAGATGAATATCTTTAGTTTTTATTCCTGAAAAATGATCAACGATTTAGGTAAATAAAAGAGGTAATACATGTATTTTTACACTCCAGTGTAATGCAGCCGTTGGAGTGAAGTCATTTTTTGACATGATGCACAGTGGTCCACATAAGCTTATGCTGTTTGGGGCCGCTTGCACACACGTAACAGATCCAATAGCTAAGGCCTCTAAACATTGGCATCTTACTCAGGTATATATCAAACATTGTTTTTCTCTTTTCAAGCTTTAGAACTATTTCATACAGATTATTGAAACGAGACAACCCATTATTATTTACTGATAAAGGCATGGAATTGTTTTATTATGAGGTAGACAGTCCTGTGTTTCAAAAATGTAGGCATTGTTTTATTGAAACAAAATGATTAAATATGCTTTTAAGATTTTTTTTTTAATTTTCCAGCTGTCATACGCAGACACACACCCAATGTTCACAAAGGAGGCGTTTCCCAACTTCTTCCGGATTGTGCCCTCTGAGAATGCATTTAATATACCTCGCATTCGCCTACTGGAGCATTTTAACTGGACCAGAGTGGGGACTTTATATCAAAACGAACCTAGATATGCCTTGGTAATGCCATTTTTATATGCCGCCGTATATTATATATAGTTAGACTTTAGGAGATTCTTAACGCGTTATTGGTGAACTCTTATATATATTCTTACATGCTAGGTCAAATATGAAAGGCGTAGAGCTCTTTAGTTTATTTAAAAAAAAACGAAGAATTTAATTGCTTTCAAAATACACAAAAAATAACGAATA